ATAGCTTTTTAATATTAGTATGTTTTTGGTATTATAAAAACATACAATCTGCGCTTCATCCAGAGTTTATACAACGTCAAAATTTTGTTGAAATGATAAATACTTCTGGTGAAAATAACTCTTGAATGAACTCTTTAATTCTGCATGTTGATTAAGTATCTTAAAAAAATTGAACAAACGAAAGTTTTTGCCGTTGCTACGCAAAATTATATAAAATATTAATATGAAAATTTTATTCACTTTGTTAAAGCTAAGACATTCACGTTAAATATGTCACAAATATTGTAACATTTTCTGAAGTCGAATTCGCCACGAGGATAATATGTATCTATCATACATTGAAAACAAAATTCTTTTCGCAATCTTTGCTAGATACGCAGCAAAATATGCTACGTCATCAAGCGCGTAAAGGTACTACACGTCTTCTTAATAAATAAATCTCTCAATTTTTATAAATAGATTTTAAAACGAGCTAAAGGTTGTTTACAGAAATAATTTGGTTGATCCAGCCAATGAATGCCGAAACTTTCACATAAACGCCAGGAACATCCAATCTTCCGCAACCAAAACCCCATGAAACAAGTCCAGCCAATTCATAAAATCCATCATCTTGGCACACTAAGGGTCCTCCTCCGTCACCCTAGATAATATAAAATTACAATTACAATGCTATTCTTTAAAAAAATATATAAAAATTGTTAATATGACTGACAGGTGATAATGTTTAAGTTACATAAGATATATAGATTTTCATCACACAATCTTACAATTTATAAAATTTTTAATATATACATTATGTTTAGAAATATTAAGGAAAGTGGCCCAATAAGGAATAGTACTCATTCTAAAAATATAAAAAATAAATATCTATTAATTGGCTAAACACACTGCTTTACTCACTCTCTGTACAAGTAGTAATCAATAAATCATAATTCCTTAATCGATATAAAAAATAAAACTATTTCTTATCTGTTTTTTATCTATTTTTATCTATTCTGATGTGAAAGTAAGTTATTTTCATTGATTTACATTTAATTGCCACAATGTATACATTTTTTAAATTCATAAATTATACAGCTAAATCTGTTTTTGTGCGGTCTTTTTTATGCGATTTTTTTCTGCGGTCCCTATCTACCGCACAGAAACAGGTTTGACTGTAGTATACGATAGCTACTATTATATGTATATACATATAAAATTTTGGACATCTTTAATTAGATATGATTTACACCCGAAGTCAGAGTAATAAATTACTTATCACTACTTATTACACGTAAAAATTTTAATATTTTACTGGTCAATAAATCTTTTAGCTGAAAATTTTATTTATGTATGTTATATCCCAATCAGCCAAGTCTGCTTCGATCAAATACTTGTAAAACGCTTGGTAGTGTATTTTGCAAGGAAATTTATATAGGCTCTGCTGAAAGAAGACTCTGCTCTGCAATGGCAAATCGTCACAGAACCTTGTACCGAAACATACCGTTTGAAGAGGGCAGGTTAATCGCACTTATGTGGCAGATATACAGTGCTATAACCTTTGGCATGGTATTTGGCATGGACAAGGTGTTGGTGCCAAATCCAGTATAAAATGCGGAAATGGATGGCTCGGTGTTTGACATAACAGCGTACGATCAGAATCATGTTAATAAAACATTGCTTAAATATGGTAGACGTTACAAACTTGTATATATTTCATGAATTAAGTACCAAAACTACATTCAAGAATGCATTTTTTGTAAATAAACGATTGTGTGCAAAATTTTATTAGTCCGCAATAAAATAAACCTTTAAGATAACCCAGTTCTATAAACTACAGTTCCTTTTATTACCTGACATGCATCATTGCCTTGTTCACCACCAGCACAGAAGCTACTTGCTGGTAAAATGAAGATTTTTTCTGTGACTGCATTTACTTTTCTTATACATTCAGCATCGCTCACGATTGGTATTTCTGCTTCACGTACTCTGAGAGGAATGGGGCCAGCTATATAAAATATTACAAACCCATTAGTTATAACGTTATACACATGTACTATAAATTAGCTCAAGCTTATATAGGATTTACTCATACAGCAAATTTATTGCAGCAAATTTATTTATTGCTCTTCATCATTTAAAAAATTCGATCTACCCTGACAAAAGGAGTTTATTTAGAGAAGCATATTTGGTAACAAAAATGTAATTATCCATTTAAATTCCTCGTCGACTAAATGAATATATAAATAATTAATTACATTTCCGTTAAACAATTATTCACCTAATACAACTACTATGGGCTCAACAAATTTGTCCACCTTATTATTAAAACTACAAGAATTTGTGATTAATTAGTAGTTACTTTGCAGTATGTATAAATCAAGTAATTAAAAAATATAATTTTAAAAACAATACACTTTAGGAGGAGATTGCTACTGCTTCATATAGTATATGTCTACATTATACATTTAAACTACAGTATTGACCTCAATTTCAGTATTCACAATAAAACAAATATTCAATTTCATGTTAAGCTTTACCTTCACCCATGTATCCATAACCAGTGACAGTGCATCGCTTGCCAGCTGTATGGCTAACACCCCGTGCAGGTAAACACACAAGGCAAACACCATCCTTCAGCTCTGCTTGTCCATGAAGTTTCAACAGTGCTATGTCATTGTCCAGTGTTTGACTGTTGTGATTATGATGAATGTAAGTAGTTGCAACTCGTAAAGTTTGAGCCCCAGGACTTCCATACTTTCGCGTCAGATCATGATCACCAACTCTCACATATATTGCGTCTCCAGATCTCACGATGCTACAAACAATTATTAATTATAATGACTAAAGAGATAAATGTTTCAAGGAAACCATTTTAATTTTAAAGAATGATTACACAGAAACAACAAATATTATGAAGTCAAATCATAAATAATTTCCATTTCTTTGACAGACATTTATTTTGTTTTCTTTTTGAACCCTTATCTATTTAGTGAAAGTAAAAACTCGTTCGTCCCAATGACTCATAATGGGTACATACGAATAATAGATTTTCGACTTAATATTTGTAGTTTTTGAGGGTACTGAGATATTGAAATTTCAAACTATAAAGATCAATCATTGATTTAAAACGAATTATTCCAGTGAGAATAGAACTTACTTTGTAACACAATGTGCTGCTGTAAGAACCCACTGTGTCCCGATAAGTGCACCTCCGCATAGATATTGGTTAAGGGAATTAATTAAAGCAACTTGCCAACACCATTCATTTGCATCAGCGTCTTCACCACCAACAACACGCGCACCTCTTTCAAAGCTACGTGCTTGTACCGGTCCACGAGAAGTTCCTTTTACACCGCATACATACTTACTGTATACAGGACTTCTCATGGTTGTCGTCATTGTCGTTGTTTCGTCTGTTACATAAATAATATTCCAATCTCTTATTTGCCCAATTTGTAGATTATAGTAAATTACTAGTATTTCTATTACAAATACATATATAGATAAAATGAAAAAGAAAAACAGCAATATTGTTTTATAAAACTAATTATAAAACTCAGTATGCCTATTTTGTGGATGATAACAAATTTTAGATGTACTTCACTTTATTATTCCTCTCGAATTCCCATGCCTTTAACACTATACTACCAAATTAGTCAAAATGTCTGGTTTCTGATCCTTTCTTTTACGATTTTTACTATTATAAAAATGTTTTTGAACTGGAAATAATGATCCTGATAGATTCAAGAGAGGACTCGATGATAGGAGAACGAAAGGATGAGATAGAAGGACTAATAGCGATGAAGGTAAGAATAGAAAGCGAATTATGGAACATTTGGACAATATAAAGCAATAATAATAATGACAGAACAAGCAAGGCTAGTGGAGAAAATGATCATTGGTGGAAACTTCAATGTAAGAATAGGGGAGGGGGTAAATATATATTTATGATGAAGAAGAGGAAGCTGGATCATTATATAAAAGATCAAAAGATAAGATAGAAAATAAAGAAGGAGAAAAACTTTTGAGATGGTGTGGGAAGAGGGAATGTATATTTTAAATGAGGACATGAAAGGAGATGAAGAAGGGGGATATACGCAATTCAGTGAAAGAGGAGCATTAGTTATTGACCATGTTATAACTAATAGAGAAGGTTTTGAGAAAACAGAGGAATTATATCTAGGCGACAGAGTAGACTTAGACCACATGCCTGCAAATAAGAGAGATCGTGAAGAGGAAGAGATGGTGTAAAAAGAAATAATTGCAGTAATGAACAGACCATAGGCAGGTACAAGGAAACTGGTTTTAAACTCAGAATAATAAAAAATAATGGAATGCAACAAAGGTACAGGAAATGACAAGTGATTAAATGAAGATAGAAAGGGATGAACGTAGACAGAAAATTTACATACATGGGTGTGATCATGCTAGAGGAGACAACATGTTAGAGGAGACAAAGGCGGTACTCAACCAAATATAGGATATAAGGGAAAAAAGTTTAGGGATAACTTTAAATTAAGAATAGATCTTTTCGATGCATAGGAATATAAAGATATCTGAAGTGGGCATTGGGGTTAAGCCTGTATAAATTTAAAGAGGCGGAAAGAGATAAAGTTAACATTACAGCTGGTATAAGAGTGTGGAAATTCGAAAAAAGGTAGAGAGAGAAGAGGTAGAATATTAGTAAAAGAATGTTTGAGGGAGAATGAAAACGTGAGGCAGAAATGGGGAAGCGCTAAGAGAAGGGAAAAGTATTTGATGAGGAAGGAAAGAAAAGGAAGAAGTAATAGAGCAACTGGAGAGAAGGGGCAGAGAAGTGCAACAGCAAATGCAATATAATAGAATAATAAGCCCAAGATTCAACCAAAGGTATAAGTTTTTAAGAACAATAGAGTTACCGAAATACCTAAGAAGAGAAACGAAAGACTGGAATCAGCGACTATAGAATCAGCGATTGTAAACTGAGTTCCTTTTTACGGCCGGAAGGCTGAAAATAAATTATTTCTATAAAAATCTTCCTATGAAAAACTTTTATATCAATTTAAATCAAGTTTATATCAATTTAATTTTGTTAGTGTTATAAAATAATATATATTAATCCTGTTAAGGGTTCGGCAATTTTAATATTAAAATCAGTTCTTCCAACTTCATCTAAAGGCGCGGATTCACAGTTATCTACCAATTGTTGCTACTAAAAACCTCTCGATTTAACACCAGTGACACCAACGTTTCCGATGGAAAGTACGCGCGCCATCCTAACCTATATTGGTTTCTCCATGAATTGGCAGGAAATGTAAACAACAAGCAGAGCCAGATTGAAACGTAGTGTCGAGAGCCCTGCATAGTAGGAAAGAAGTTAAGACATTATTAACATTATTATAACATAATGTAAATAAGGCAGCAACTGAAAGTACAAATTAAGGTCGGTGACGTGAACGCTTTGTTTACATTTCCTGCCAATTCTTGGGGAGTCGAGCACATATAGATCCTTACATCAGTACAAAAATGTATTTAAACTACGTCTTTTTCAATCTAGTTTTTATAAATAATCAATTATAATACGGTGGCACACCGTAAAAGTAAAAATTCAAAGCGTAAGATCTAAAAATTCATTCTTTGCAAAATATTAATGGAGAAATGTAGTTCTTTTTTAAAACCACCCTCAGTTTTTGCTGAGTGTATACTAATTTGTAGATAAAACTTTTAGTTTAATGCAAGAAATCAGTGCATATCTTCAATCACGTGCCATTGATAGAGTATTTGTTACTTTAATTAGATTTTCATAAGTTGAATTCATTACTACAGAACCATTAATATAAGTAAATTAGTTTATGAAGATAATAATACATTTCTATAATTTGTCATATTAAATGTTTATCAACTTTGAAGAGATTTTTAAAAAGAATNTTTTAAAACCACCCTCAGTTTTTGCTGAGTGTATACTAATTTGTAGATAAAACTTTTAGTTTAATGCAAGAAATCAGTGCATATCTTCAATCACGTGCCATTGATAGAGTATTTGTTACTTTAATTAGATTTTCATAAGTTGAATTCATTACTACAGAACCATTAATATAAGTAAATTAGTTTATGAAGATAATAATACATTTCTATAATTTGTCATATTAAATGTTTATCAACTTTGAAGAGATTTTTAAAAAGAAT